TTTGTACAGGTTTTATTCTGTAATATTCAATTGCTTGTTACATTTCCGTGTCCGTGGGGAAGGAGCGGGAATCGAACCAATGACCCTATTACTGTAAAGCAGGTGCATCAACCAGTCTTTAAAGATAAGCTTCTTTTATAGCATTAATGGTGAGGAAAGACTGCAGTTCTACATCTGACAAACCAGACGTTTAAAAGCATTTGAAGTAAAAATACCAAGTGATTATAACTGCTGTCAGGCAAGGAGTCAAACAGGAAGTGAACCGTTCAGTCAACTTCAACAACTTCCTGCAATTATATTGGCCAAGATAACTGATAATAGTCAGAAAAGAACATAGAGAAAATCAAGTTAAAGATGGTTACAAAAAATATATATAAAGATATATGCATATATTTACATATATGCACATAGAAGATAGAGTGCATTGTGCATAGAAGCACATATAAATACATATGCATTATGCAAATATTCAGTATATACATATATATACAAATATATTCCAATAGGTGCAAACTTAACTCAGCCAAAGTGCTACAACAAAATGCAGTAAAATATCGGTGCCTTTTATTTTCATGAATATCTGGCAAAACTTGGTAAATAAGAAAAAAACAGACTCTCCAGTCCAGCTCTCTGACTGTATAAATAAAATATGTCAGGCCCTCAGTGTCCTCACAGTTGAACAGTACTGTCAGAACGCCTTGTTTAACAAACAACATGGTGTCAGCATGGAGCGAGTGGAGACATGACAGAAACCAAATAACCAATTAGCTGCTGCGGAACCCAACGACATAGCGCTCTCGGCGTCCGCCTTGATTTTTAAGAGCTGATGAAGAGAGTGTGAATGAAAACACGCTGCACTGTGTGACAGAGCAAACGCATCCACACAGAGTTATTAGAGAGCGTCTCGGCCATGACTGAGTCCAGGATTAATTACAACAATGAATGTGGACAGAGAGTATTCCACCACACTGGACGTCACACGTCCTCCAGCTGCAGCCGTGAATGACCACGACCCGACCAGTGAGCAGATCTCAGTGAGCAACATCACCAGATTCCCCTGAAAGACGTTTTCCTCACTCATCCAAGCAGTGATCTGCTGTCGTCTGATGCCTGTCGGCAGGAGGCGGGACTTCCTGTCTGCGGGACTAGGGACTTCCTGTCCATACTCTCACTGACAGGAAGTCTACAACTGTCAGCATCCTCATAAGACAATTAAAGCATTTACCAGCTGCTGAGGAACATGAACACACACACACACACACACACACATTTTTGTGTTTTTCTTCATATTCTACTTTATGAGCAAATGTCGCACTTTATCAAAAGTGTGTCCAACTATGTATGTCAATCTCATTTGGATTTTACAGTTTTTTTCCTACCTACTGTGTATTCATCCAAATATAAAACTGACAATATACTGTATCTGGGCCTTTTCACCACGCACCACAAATGGCCCCTAAGCCAGACTTTGGATATGCCAGCAGTCTCTGCCCTCTGCCTCCAAGACAAGCGTGCAAACCACTACACTATGGAACTGAGACATTTTCTTTCCTATTTTGTTCCTGGCACTATTATCTTGATGCTATAACACAAGGGTACCTAACACCCGGTCCGGGGACCGGTGCCGGTCCGTAGGTACCAGTCCGCAGTAGGACACAGTGAAAAACCGCTGCTTTAACATACATGATCAAATGTCACACTTTCTCTGAATGTTCATTTCTGCTGTTGCAGTTTTTCAAACAGAGAAAACACACTGTATATGTCTTTTAAAAAAAAAAAAAAAAAAAAGAAATTAGAGCAGAAATATTCCGGGGGTTTATTTTTCCCTGGTACAGAATCTGTAGAGGAAAAGTAAAAATAGCAGGAAAAAAAAAAGAAATTCCTGGGAGAGCAGGCTGCTTCCTCCACCAGCCCTCGGAAGTATACAGAGAGCTTCTATTTTTAATAAACAAGACGAAGACAAACCATAGTACACTCTTCATTCTCCTCGTACTATGTGGAACAAACACCGGACTCCGGCCCAGACCACAGGGATACAGGAATCAGGAAAGGAACGTGATCTGGCCGACAGTTCAGCAGCCAATACACGACGGGAATCAATTACAGTGGGAGTCAGAAGGAGCTGGGTTTAGAGGCTGACAGCTCTGAAGGGAGGTTCAAGTCCAGGCATGAGACACCAGAGTAATCTGAATATAGTAATACTCCGGCTGTAATACTGCGGCTCTCGGTCGATACCTGTTTTTAGGAATAACACATTTCAGGCTTCAGAGAATGTGGTTTGGCATCGACCGCCTGTCACCGTCCATCACGTCTGATAAAAAACTTTTTTCCAAAAGTAAAGTTTAAAGTCATTTAAATTCATAAACTTTTTTTAAAATTAAAAAACACAAAGAGTCCTCTGGACTTTTTTAACCCAGAAACATGACTGGAACAACTGTTTAATCTACAGGAGAAAACACAGCGGTCTGGGCCAACAGGAAGCCCAGTCCACTGACCTCTGGTTACACTGACACCATGTCTAACGTGTCTAACGTGTGGAGAGAAATTCCACATCACTGATGCCGCAGCCACTCCAGAACATATGGACTGATCACAGAAGTGATTTCTGCGTCGAGCAGCAGCCGTGGAGTCAACAGCTGTTCCTGCAGTTCCTGCCAAGGCCTTTGGCTGCTCCGTCACCTCTGAGCACCGTGCACCCACCATTATTCACAGGACACTACACAGGTAGGACACTGTGACATCATCATCATCATCATCATCATCACTGCTGAAGTGGAGACTCCCAGACATCACCAACGATAGTGTCGTACAAAGTACGGGGCGTGTGTAAAAGACCGTGACACGACCTTAGAAATCCATCAGCACCAGAGAAGGTGAGGCAGCGGCACAGTGGCCAACACGGACAACTACATATATATATATATGTATGTGTTATAGAAGTATATATGTATATGCAGTATGCGTATATATCATTAGCATGTTAAAAAAAAGTCCAGCCCTGGAACATACTGTACTGTAGGTCATATGATATTAATCTAAAATGAAGAGGTCAGAGGTCAAAGGCTACACCAAAACCCTACCAGTGCCACTACTGGCCCGCAGGCCATACTTTAGTTCCACTAAAGCAAGACCAAATGACCTTTCACTGGCCTTGAAGTTCCAGGTCCAGGTCCAGGTTCCAGGTCGGACCAGATGTTCAGTGATCAGTTTCCCCCTCCATTCACAAATCCACAGCACACACACCGTCCTGCCCACTCGCCCCACTTGTAAAAATTCCCTCAGAATAAATAAAAATCATCTTTTATTCAGGCCAGTGCGACACCGGCATAATGAATTATTGTGTCCCAGAATGCAGCGGTGCAGCAGAAGTGAGCATCTGCCACCGTCAGGCTTCACAGGAGACGTGTTCGCACCTTGATGTGAATGAAAGTCTTAATTAAGAAAAGAACACTTTCAGCAAATGTGTTCATTATAAAGGACTTCATTATTAAAAAAAATAATAATCCAGCTGACAGAACACAGGCTAAAGTACACACTGAATACTCCTTAGTTGCACACGGTTACTGTAAATAAATAATACATAGTTCAGCATGTTCAAAACTACACACTGCTTTATGGTGTTTTTTGAGGGAGGACGATGGGGGGGGGGGCTGAAAGGCAAATTTAACTGACTTTTCACCATCTCTGTTATTCTTTCATTCATTTTTTTCATAAATTCATCGTTCAACACTTCAGTCTTCTCAGGGTCACCCTGGAAGCTAGAGATTTTCCCAGCAGTCACAGGGTGAAGACGGGGTTAAAAAAATTCACAACTGTGGTTAATTTACAGTGAACTACTGGAGTACGCGGAAAAAAAAAACACGTAAAATAATATTGCTGTAGTGGGGGTCAGAAATCAAACCAGTGACCTTCTCACTGTAAGGCTAATGGTCTATTCATTTTACTGCCCTATTCTCACTCTCATCATTTAACCAAAACTTCAAGCATTAATGGATTCTATAAAATGTTTTTTTATTTTTAGATGTTTTTTTCTCCTACGGTAAAATCAACTGGACTGAAGGTGTCAATACTGCGATGGTCACAGCTCCACTCACTCTCTGAATTCATTTCCATCTTATTTTCTCCAATTTAACTCTCGTCCTCAAGTTCAAAACCATTCTTCAAACACAAATTGTTTTTTTTTTCATGCTTTTCTGCCTCATTCTTCTCTGTGTATTAATTGATATGTTCTCAGGGAGATTAAAAACCAGTGTGTGTGTGTGTGTGTGTGTGTGTGTGTGTGTGTGTGTGTGTGGTCCTCAGAGAACAGCTAATTCTGTACTGAGCAACAAGGTTGCAGGGAAAACAGACAAATAACCGTTTTCACTCCAGAGAAAAGATGAATTTCAAGAGAAAAAAAGAAATAACTCAGCAACAGTAAACATCTATAAATACAAACACAGACGTTGTAATGATACGAAGGTTATTTATAACCGCCCAAAAAAGAAACTTCTCTAACAGTCCGTGTCCTCACCTACGTCAACACAGCTGCTTCACAGTGTGTCCAGACAGGATCCATTACTGTTCAGGCTTTATGAATTATAAAACATCGGACCACAAGACCTTGGAAACGGTACGAGGCCCTCTGCAGGAGAGGATCATAAAGGTTGGTTTTCCTCTCACTCTGGACACTTTTCAATTACATTGTGTCCACAAACCATTTCTCTCCCTTTATAAACCTTCCACAGACGTCACAGACTTAAAATACCTGCAGGGTGATGAGTGTTCGCTGTGGACCGACAGAAAAACAGAAATGTTTGAAAAATTCTCTTGAAATGCAGCATTAGTTTAAATCTTTTTTTGACTAATCACAACATCTATAAACCTGTACGCTCCAATACTGGTATCAGTACATGTAATATTGATGTAGCATATATACATATATGCATATACACATATATATATACATACACATACGTATACACATATATACATACATACATACATAGTTATACACAGTTGGTTCCATAGTGTAGCGGTTAGCACACCTGCCTTGAAAGCAGAGAGTCCTGGCTTCGATTCCCAGAGGAACCATGTGCCAGGGACAGCATATCTGCTGCTAACACAACAATTTCCCAAATATGGGATCAGTATAGCACGAATTATTTATTATTACCTACATATATATCCAAAAACATATATACATATACGCATGTACACATATATATGTACATACATTTATACACATATATGCACATATATATATACACACATGTATACATACATATATACACATATATGCATATACTCATGTATACAAATATAAATGCATATATACAATATATGTATTTATACACATGTAGACATAAATACAAACATACACAAATATATGCATATACACACATATATAAATACATATATAAATGAAATAAAACAGTTGCTACATTGCTGGAGCAGATGTCTCTTTCATTAAGTGGCGTCTCAGGAGTGAGAAAACAAGTTCACGTCTGGTGAGGACAAATTACAATAGAATAAACTTGAACTTGAACTTCAGACAAAATATGTTTCACTTGTTGTTGCATTGTGACATGAGAATATTTATTTTGACACTGTACTGGACCAAAAAGCCGAGATAAGAGTCCAGAGCGAGCGTCCATCCTTGTCCTGGGGGTATTAAAACACACTTTTCCCCCTGACAGCTCACAAACAACGTCGACCGTGTCATAAATCCACTCGCTCTTTTTGTTTCATATCTCCGCCAAAAATTTATGGCTGAGGTAAATGTGAACTGTGGCCATGAAAATGCTTATATCCCGGCCGGCAACACCGCTAACTGTTTTGTGCTGCAACCCCGGCCATAAATCAGGGAGCCGTGAGCCTGTCTCGGCCCCAGCATTTTCAGATCCATTTAGCACTGATAAAGCCTGCTGTTCCGGCGGCCCCCAGGGGCCACAGCCAGAGCCTTTCATAAATAAGCTCAACTGCTCTGTCCTCCAGCCCCGAGCCCTCATCTGACTACTGAAATGTCAGGACAGTGACAGAGACACGTCACTGCCGTCCGTTCAGTTATTGGTTCTTCTACGCAGCTGAGATGTTCGGTCTTTATTGTGAATTTTCCTTTTCTTTTTAATATTTAACTGAAGCTCAGATGTGTGTTTACAATCAAAACACATAAGTCCTCACCATCCTCATACATATTTAACGGGCTTTTGATCTAAGCTGTATTTAGTTCGTTCCATAAGCTGAGCTGCTCTTATTGCCATCAAGTGCTGTGAAAAAAGAAAAAAAAAACTCTGCACAAGGAAAACGTTTTCTGTTCAAACACATCGACTTGAATGAAATAAAATGAAGATCACAGATTTACAGCAACTGCATTTTTTTTTATTAGCTGTTCAGCTTAATGGGGCTCATAATATTTCTATGGTTCTCACACCGTGGGTGGTGACCCAAAGGTGGGTCAGCAGGATAAATGATCTTGGTGGGTTGGTTACTGATCTATTTACTGTGCTCTGCAGTGGAAGGCGGGAATTAAACTATCAACCTTTTTACTATAAAATGTAAGCGCACTAACTTTTTTTCCCCATTGTGGGCTTTGAGACAATAACAGCAGTAAACCCAACACAGTCCACTAGAAAAAAGATAAAAGCCTGACCATGCTAGAATCTTATTGGTCTACAAAGGACACTACACCGGCCAATCAGGAGGCTTGACGACTTGCTCGTGCCTAATTAGCAAGAAGAAAAAGAATCACCTTCATCTCTGTCATCTCCGGCTCCACTCTTTGGGAAACATCTATGTTCCTGATGGAACTGGAATCCTGGATTTTTTAATTTCATTCGCAGTCATCAGGTTGTTGGAACTTTTTCAACATTTTTAAGAACTTTTGGGAAAACTACAACCTGGAATTCCTCCATAACGGAGCCAGACGTCTGTGGCTGTTCTCAAATTTCCACAGTCACCACTCAGAACTGTCAAAGCCTCTGTGTTTATCAGAGAAGAACCAACGGCGTTAGCATTGGTCCAGTCGGAGAGTAGGAGTCCCTCCTGTCCCTTCTGTCCCTCCTATCCGTGTCCTTTCGCTCAGCCGTCTTTAAAGGCCTATAAAAGACGCCCCATATGTTTGGCTTTATGGCTTTCATATTGCAGCCGCTGCACGCCGCGCTCATAAATGTCACTGTTCGTTACATAACAAGTCAGCGAAGATGGATCGTCCCTGTGACGGAGCCGGGGCAAAGCAGCACTTAAAATTCTGCTCATGAGACAAAATGAAGCAGCTAATGCAGCTAATGAGATCAAAGCCGCTGAGCACCAGGGACGGTCACGCCACCCGTTGTTGGACACAGGTACTGTAGGAGGCAGTTACTGAGAACTCTGTGGTGCCGTTTAAAGACACAGTAGGGAGGTTTTCTACCGATTCACTTTTCAACTGAAGTCCAAAGGGAACGCCTTTAATTCTGTAACTGATTATTTTAGTCACCTGAGCAGTTCACACAGAGACAACATGGATTCTTATTGGACAACACTGTGATAACAGATGTCCATCTTTGGTTACAAAAACTCAAAAATAGACAAATATTGTCCATCATAGCCATCTCTGAACTAAATCTTTTAGGCCTCACCATATATAAATATATGTATATATTGTATGTACATATACACAGAATATATATTTAAATGCATTTTACCCATCTTTTACATCATTATTTTATAATATGTTTGCCCTGTCAGGTGTTTATTTTAATTGATTTAACTATTTATGACATACAGTACTCTGTATATTTATTATATTTCACTCTATTTTATTTACATTGTTTAATAATTTCTTCTTTTATTTAATAAAGTCTCTGTTTTTTAAACCTTTTTGTCAAATTTTATTTAATTGTGTTCCTTTTTTTTTCAACATTTACCTACTTTAGTTTTGGTGGTATTTACTTTAAGACTGCAGAAAATCTTTTACATTTCTTTGTCATTGATTTTATTTCAGTTACAGTTAAATATTTGAATATCTGAGCCCGACATTAAACTAAAGTGTGTATTTTAATTCCACTTAATTTCGCTCTTAAGTACAACAGGAAACGTAGTCAGACCTCGGGCTGCATCTCATTATCCAAACCTGCAGCCTAGGAAAACGTCAAAACTTTTCCAAGGGAAAAAACTTAATATTACAAAAAAAAGGCTTAAATTTAAATTTATGTTTCCAAGGGAAAAAACTTAATATCACAAAAAAAGGCTTAAATTTAAATTTATGTCTAAAAGGAGCAGAAAACATTCTGTCAGCAGCAGCAGCAGTGAAGAAAGCCTTCAGTCACAGGACGAAGTGAAACATCTTGAACTATGTTGTATAATTAGTCAATTACTTGGGCTTTCCAGGATCAACAGCACTTCACCAGTGGGAAAATGTAAATAATTCATGTCACGCTTTATTAATGTAAATGAATTTTCCTCTGGAGTTTCTACAGAGGGACAGAGTTGAGATTCTATTAACTGCTCGTGGCCGTGTTTGCTCGTCAGGAGCATTTGTTTTCCTGCAGAGCATGAAAACACAGCTCGAGCAGCAGGTCTGTGTGGAGGTTGGACTTCAGCCCTGGTCTGAAACAACACCAACCCCAACACGCTGCCACATGGCCAAAAGCAAAATACTGGCAGCTTGGTCTGCAGGATGTGCATAAAAAAAAACAAAAAAACCTTCAAGTCTTTTTTAGACTGGACAGAAACCAGCAGAATAATAAACAACAAGCCTTAATTCTACTTTTAAAATTCCTCTTTCTTTTATTGTCACTGCTTTATACCATACATACACGCGAATCAGCCGAATTTAAAACAATAAAAACTAAAAATCAAATCGGGGCTCGGCTTATGTGCACATTTTCCATCGATCGCATCATCACCAATAATAAACACCAAGTTTCCAAATGTCCACACGCTACAGCGAAGGTTTCTTTAGTTAGCGTATTCATGTTCTAAACACGACTTTGACATAGTTGCAAAATACACAGTGATTCTGCGATCGTTGCGTCTTTTTGCCTCTAAAGTTAGCTTAATTAAAAATAATAAAGTATGAAAAGAACAAGAGTGTGGTATCCAGCTGCTTTTAAATTAAAGTGGTAAAAGCTGCAGAGGAATCTAACAACATGGAAGGTGCTAGACGATTGGGAGTGGAAGAGAGCAACATAGAAGAAGATGGTGCAAAGTCATCTGGAAAATACAGCAACACAGCCTCTCTCTCTGCATCTCCAGGTTTTTTTAATAAAGATTTTTTCAGGAAATTATTCGTACAGGATTTTACTGTGGTCAAAAGTTGGCGCACCAAAAAAGTCAATTTTCTGAATTTTAAAGACAGAAATGGACACAGCTAAGATTTTAATAGAAGTTAATTGTCAATTCATCAGCATTCATCTGAATCACTGCGACGTCTATTATTACAAAATGTTTGCTGAAGTGGAGATGATGTTGAATGAACTCGGACAAATTGACTTCACAGCCGTGACAGGAAGTGCTATGAAAATTAAAAACTACTTAGAGTATATTTTAAATTCAGAAATTATGCTGTATCTTTTTAGAGTAAACACAAATGAGTACATAAATGTGTGTCAAACTAGTATTTACATCCACAACTCTACATTCGCAGTACTCACGTATGCAGTATAAATAAAACTAAAATAAATGTCAAGGTCATTTTAAAGTCACGTTTATGTCACTAATTCTCAAAGTTGTTGAATTAAATAAATAAAAACTCTAAAACTCAGTCGTCCCTGCAGATTTTCCACCTGAATGAGATTTTTTTTTCTGAAGAAAAACCAGACCATTGTCCAGCACTGACAGCACCGTAGCGATGACTGGCTACACAAGGTTGCAATAACAGCCTTTTTACTCAGAGCTATAAACACTGATAAAGTCCACAGAGAGAAGAGCCTGGAACTAATGCTGAGGAAGAGCTTTAACATTCACACAGCATCCAGGACCAGGTCCCAGTCCCAGCTCCAACACTGGACTCTATTCATTCATGACGTGCAGCAGTTTGGAGCAGAGTGGGCGAGAGGAGTCATCACTTCACTGCTGACTCCTTCAGTTGTTTCAAATACCAGCACAGAACA